GAGAGAGAGAGAGAGAGAGAGAGACAGAGAGAGAGACAGAGAGAGAGAGAGGGGGAGAGAGGAGAGGGAGAGAGTTTATCATTCAGGTTCAAGATCTTCCTTCAATTGAATTACTGAAATACATAATACTTCAAGTCAAAGGCTCTTGCTAGAGAAAAACAAAACCTTTCGAAGTGCTTTCTTTGGATGGAGATTTGAGCCCAAAGCTGTGCTATACTGGAAAATCATATTGGAATTCTTGCTATCTTTCTTGGTCTTCCAGTTTTCCCTATTGCAGGCAAACTACTGACAAGCTTGTCTCAAATGATAATTTAGTACTTGAGTTTCAAAGACTGGTTTATTAGGCTCCATTCCAAGAGACCTTGCATGATTACATACCCCTAGAGACAGACCTTCCCAGTAGCCTGACAATCCATGTGTTCAGTTTTGGTGTTGGAGATGACCCATGCCATTGGGAAATAAAGCGTAATTCAGCTCATGAGTTAATATTAACATTCTTTAAAACGTAGCTTAGTTTCAATTTCACTTTAAAATATTTCAGATGCTATACTTACAATATCTCCTGGTGGTCCTCTGGGCCCCATGGAACCTGCAGGTCCTTGCTGACCCTAAAATAGAAGGCAATATATATTTTAACTTTGCTTTAAAAATAGATTGTACCTGAATGTTGTACCTGAATAGTGTGGCCTTTATTTGGACAAAGATGGACTTTCTTTATTATGTCTTCTGTATATAATGCTGAAAGGTGCTCTGGGTTTACCAAGATGGTTTCAAGATGTTCCACTTAATGGGTCTGTTTTTATCAGCAGGTGATAACTAGGTAATTCACCTGATCTGCTGACTGAGAACACACCAGGTGACTCTCTCCCACATCTCTTCCAAACTATTCTTCCTTGAGACACTGCTATAGAATTTCCCATGGGAAGCTCCAGCATCTCAGGGATGTATAATTTTAGTGTAGAAACAGAATCCTGAATCCTTTTCCTTTTAAGAATACAGCTCAGGGTCATAGATTTAACTGACATTGTTTACTCTTAAAGCTTTTGTGGATGCTATTGTGAATTTTCTCTGAAAAAGAATTTTAAAATCCTATTGTGAACCAAAAGGCTCAGCTTCTATGTGTGTAATAAATGTAGCCAGTGTGTGTGTGTGGGGGGGAGATCACCATGGAAACAAGACAAAAATCTCTGCTAACATCTGTGAAGAAAAGGAGTGGCACACTAAAGCCATTTTGAATACAGAAGGCTATAATCCCCACATTATTGCCTAATGTGCTAGCTACTTCTTGTACACTGTTGAAAACTTCTTTACCTTCAGTCCTGGGCTTCCTATCAAACCCGGTGGACCAGGATCTCCAGATTCTCCCTAAACATGTGAAGGGGAAGCAAAGTTCAATGTTACTGTTGTTTTTACCATCTTATTAAGGTTGCAGCTGTGACTGAAAAATGTCAGATTACCTTTATTCCCTGTGATCCTATTAGGCCAGGTTCTCCCTGTAAATGAAATAATCACCATATGGTTCATGCTTGAATCCAGACAGAGCTAGACATCTTGGTACATTAATTGAATTTCCACTAGTTAACACACAACTTAGAGGGACAGCATAGAATCAGACATGAAATCAAGCAAAGCTCACTCTAAAACATGATTCAAGGTACTTGTTGCTAGTAAGTAAACTATTTCTCATTTTCTTTCTTCACTTGTGAGATCATGTGGCATTAGCAAACACTGCACTCTCATTTAACTGACTTCGCTCTCACTCACCAAGTAATCTCATGCCCCAGTTTTGGACTAAACCCTCAGATGAGAGATATGGGAGAATGCTGACTCCCAGGTGATGTTTGCCACTGATTCTGCTCCTGGGTACTGTGAAGGTACTTAATCCAACAGAAAAAGGTGTATATAAAACAGCACGGATTGCTTTTCTTGTTTTCTATTACTTATTCGATGTATCTAATTTGTGTCAATAATAGAATATTTTAAAGCCTCTATCATCTATTTTATTTTTATATTTTAAGTATTCTCATTTAATATATTTTATAACATTCATGCCCAGTAACTAATAGCAATGGGTTAACATAAACAGGTTTGGGGGGGGCGGTGAGATGATTCAGCAGGTAAAGGCACTTGATGCTAAGTCTGATGACCTGAGTTCGATTGCTGGGACCCACATGGTGGAAAGAGAGAACCAACTTCCACAGGTTGTTTTCTGACCTTCATACATGCACAGTGGTACACACATACATACACACACAAAATAAATAAATTAATATAAAAATATATAAAAGAGAACCTATATAATTCAAGTTAAATGTTAAAACGTTATAACATGATAACACTAAATAAAATTAAAAAAATAAAAGAGTCAAAAAATAGAAGAAAGTGAAATATTCAGGAAGCTTAATTTATAAAATGTATTAGGCTCTAGATAGACATGAAAAATTAGAGATAGAAATCAATGAAATAGGAAATCCAAGATAGCGATAACACATCTACTTACTCTATCTCCCTTTTCACCTTTCATTAAAGGCTCCCCCTAGGAACATGGATAGAAACCAGAATCAATTTATAAATGGTTTTAGAAGTCAACTCTGTACCTCTGCGTGTTGCATCCTGTAGGCCACACTGAGATTTCAACTTCACACAGTGTATTTTGTAGCCAACAGGAGCATGTGAGTATAATTACAGATTCCTTCATATTTCTAATGAACGTGGAGTTAATCATCTTGATAATATTTACATAGTCCCAAGTAGAAGGCAAATTGAAATGCTGCCCAAGGCTTAAGCTTCCTATTGCCCAAAGATGACTATGCACAATCATGCGAGTGCAATCGGAGGTAGAACCACATGATGGCAACCAGAGTTAAATGAAAAGACATCCGGGGGGATTGTCCCAGCTGGGCTAACTATATTTAAAACACAAAATCATTATTTTATCTTATTTTATTTTTTTGAGACAGGGTCTCCCTTTAGCCCCAGCTGGCCTGGAACTCACCATGTAGACCTGGCTGGCCTCGATCTCACAGAGATCTGCCTGCCTCTGCCTCCTGAGTGCTGGGATTAAAGGTGTGTGCTATCACACCTGGGCCCTAAAATCATTATTTTAAATAATATTTTTCTAAGTTTTAGTTTTATTCTAATGAAAATGACTTCAAGGGGTTAGTTATTGAGTAAACAACAGTACAAGTGTGTGGAACTCATGATGGTTGCTGTTGGGGTTAAGGAAGGGAGAGACAGAAGCTTTGAGGGGCAATCTTCTCTAGCCAGTAGTTTCCCTACTGGCACTGAGTTAAGTTACCATGGCCTACCCTTCAGGTACACACACACACACACACACACACACACACACACACACATACACACACACACACACACACGGAAGCTTTCTCTTAGTAACTTCTGCCCTCAGAGTCACTTGCTCACCATCTTATTTACTCTTCACAGAAATGCTGTGTAAATGATCCTGCTATCCTATTTCAAGGAACAAGGGAGGTTCAGCAACATTGACATGTCATAGCTCCCTATCCTCAACTATACTTTAGTCTTCTTTTTTTACTTGTTGGTCTTGGTTAAAAACTGTTAGTGAGCTGGAGAGATGACTCAGCAGTTAAGACCACTGGCTGCTCTTGCAGAAGACCTGGATTCAGTTCTCAGCACCCACATGGAGGCTAACAACCATCTGTAACTCCAGTTCCAGGGGATCTGATGCCCTCTTCTGACCTCCACAGGTGTTGCATGACAAGGGTGCACTTACACACAAGCAGGCAATACACTCATGCATACAAAATTAAAATAATAAAAAATACATTTTAAAGTTTTGTTAGTATAGAGATATAATTCATCTTGACAATCAGCATCTCTGGTGTCACACAAGACCTTTACATTGTTGATATCCAAACAAAGTTTATTAAATTAGGGCATGTAAAGTAATGCAGATATAAGAGTAAGAGCTGACATTTATTGAGTTATTAGAAAGTATCAAGCATTGTTCTAATAAGTATATACATATTATCATAGTTAATCCTCAGGTGAAAATAAGAAATTGTTTTAGTATATCCTGCCTCAGTCTCCTGAAAACTGGGATTACGGACCTATACCACAAGTCCTGACTCAAAATCCACCTCAACTAAGATAATTTGCAGCCATCAGGCTGATTACAGGCTTGATATTTAGTCATAGCTCTGTTGGATACTATCTGGGATAAACCATTTGAATTTGTAGAACCTTCCTTTCCTTATTCATAAAATAATGAATTTCAGCTAGATGATCTTGCTTATTTTTAAAAATTTATTTATTATTTTTATTTCTTATATATATGAGTGTATTGCCTACATGTATGTAAGTGTACCCATGTCATGCAGTTCCCCTGGAGGTCAGAAGAGGGCATTAGATCCCCTTGGAACTGGAGTTACACATGGTTGTTAGCCCCCATGTTGGTGCTGGGAACTGAATGTGGGTCCTCTGCAAGAGCAGTCAGTGTTCTTAATCACTGAGCCATCTCTCCAGCCCTGATCTTGTGTATTTTATAGTTCTTATATTTTATACATGTAGTAATATTCTAAATGCCTAGTAGTAGGGGAAAGATGGCCTCTTTAAAGTTGCTATTCAAGGCAGTGATTCAAAATTCTACTTAGAATGGTGACTACTCTTGTCTTTGGACTGCCTGGTTGTTAATCAAAATCAAGTCTAGATTCTGTTCTGGAATAAAAAATTGAAAAGAAATGCACTGTTCTGCATAATAATGTAACATGTGTGGGTTTCCTTTGATGTGGGGAGGGATGGAGGCAAGCAACAATGTATAGAAGAAGCAGGCTAATTAAGGAATTGAGAGGGAATTGGCAAGGAGAGGAATTGGGAAAAGAAGTTTACTGCTACTGAAGGAAGATGATTAAGTGGGTCCCAAAGGAGCAGCTGGGCTTCCTCTGGACATTGGAAGGGAGAGAGGAAGCCAGAGAGAATCCCCTAAGAAGAAACCTTGATTCCCTCAGGAACCATGAATTCGTCCAACAACCCTATCAGAGCTTGTGGGAAATGTAGGCTTTCCAGCTCTGCCCCAGACTATTAAGTGAGAATCTATGGGTTCCGGTCCACACTCACATTGGAGAAGCATGGCTGTAACTCACTAAAGATTCTTTTCTGCCTTACAAATCTCTTTACATGCCAGATCCCTTCATGCTTCACCCAGGAATTTAAAAATAAGGTGGGTATGAGTGTTTGCACTTGAAAGGGGGGCAGTGGTGAATCCCCAAAGTGGTTAGAAGATGGTATAAATTGGGCACAGGAATGAGTGGGTAGGTGGAAGAGTGACGTGAGAGTTCCCAGACAGCCTTTGAATTCTCAGTTGAACACTGTTACAGGATGTCAGATCTGCATCCTGCAGGAGGCCTGGACAAGACACAGAGGACAATGGGTAACTGCTGAAGGTTGAATAATCGGGTTCTTGGGTACAGTAGTGATTTTAAAGCTGCTGGAGAAAATTAACAGTACTGCTAAAGATGTCTGCTAAGTATTAGGCTGGAGTAGAGAAACTTGGCTTTGCAGCACTGAATATTTTTACTGATTTTTCTGTTTGTCATGCAGGTATTTTAGTGAACTCTTTATTCTTAATTCCCCCCAAAACCAGTATCCCTAATTCACTCCGGAAAGTGGGTAAAAGTGATTTTTAAAAAGATATCTTGCACTTGAAATAAAAGACCAGTTCTTGCTGATGTTTTGTTTTGGTTGTTGTTAAACTTGCTATGTAGACCAGGCTGGCCTTGATCTCAGAGATCCACATGCCCTTTTATTTTTTTTCTCCAAAGTGCTGGGATTAAAGGTGTGCACTATCAAGCCTAGACCTTGCTGATTCTTAAAGACTACCTCTTTATTTTTTAAAGATTTTTTTTGTTTTTATTTTTATTTTGTGAATGCTTTGCCTGTATATATGTAGCAAGTGTACTGCATGCATGCCTGATGCTCGAAGAGGCCAGAAGAGTGAGTGGGATCTCCTAGAACTGGAATTAAGGACTGGTGTGAGCTACCATGTGAGTGCTGAGAACTGAACCCAGGTCCTCTGGAAGAGCAGCAAGCGCTCATAACCTCTGAGCCATCTCTCTAGCCCCCCTTTCATTTTGTAATAAGCATCATTAAATAATAAAAGTCAGGGTTGGGGACATGGTAAAGCACTTGTTGAGGACCTAAGTTCGAGCTCCAACCTCACTTTTACAAAAGCCAGGCTGTAGAATTATATGCCTGTGGTCCAAGTACTGCAGAGGCAGAGACAGGAGGATCCCTGGGGCTTGCTGGCTAGCCAAGATAGCTGAATTGGCAAACTCCAGGTTCAGTGAGAGACTGTCTCAAAAAGTGAGGTGTGCTTGGTGTGATGGCATACATCTTTAATCCCAGCATTCAGAGGCAGAGGCAAGCAGATCTCAGTGAGATGGAGGCCAGCCTGGTCTACGTAGTGAGTTCCAGGCCAGCTGAAGCTACAGGAAGACCCCATCTCAAGGAGAACCAAGACAAAAAAAGGTGAAATGTAAAAGAAAATACCAGAATACCAGATGTGGACCTCAGGCTTCCACATGCACATGTACACACATGCGCACACATAGGAACATGTACACACACAAACACACAGAGAAATAAATTCAAGAAGTCATTTTTTTGTAACAAAGCTTTCACAATCTCTTCAGGAGGTCATATTTGAATATAAAAGATATGGTAGGCTCTCCCCCACCTTTTCCTCCCTCCCTACCCCCACACCAATAGAGAAGTTTTCAAAGAAACTGGCCACAGCAATACTAAAATGTGGTTTGGGAAGTCACTTGATCTCACAAACGCCAGAAAATAAAATAACTTTGGAACCATTGTTTGAGCAGAGAGAGAAACTGAGTTTTAAGATCAGTTTCCACCACTTTTTGGATATATTGATTGTGAGTTTCATTTTAGATACAGTGTTTAGTCATATCTGGACAACTTAACGATTTTAAAGCCTGGGTTCTAGAACCAGTCTACATATGTGTGACTTGAGAAAACTAATAACCTCTCTCTGTCTGTCTCATTTGGAGAACGGGTATGATACTAGCTCACCTCATGGGATTTATTTATTAAATGGGTTAACTTAGTGCCTGGCATGTCATGTTCGGGTCAACAAAGGTCTGTGCAATTGGAGTTGATTTGGAAAAATATTTTTAATTCTTCCTCCTTCTCCCCTCCCCCTCCCCCTCCTCTTCCTCCTCCTTCTCCTCCTTCCTCAAAGCTAAAATACTTACAGGTTCTCCCTTTTGTCCTTTAGGGCCAACAGACCCTGGAAATCCTGGCAGTCCCGTTTCACCCTTTCAAGAAAAAGCAGAAGAGATTTTTTTTTTTTACAGGAGGCACTCAAAGAACCTCTTCAACCCACAGAATTCTGTCTGCATCAAGGAGATATGGTGAAGCTTTGAATCTAGTCTGGCTGTTTGCCCAACAATGTGTCTTCCGGCACTTCTCAATGCCTCGGGTCTTTCAGAAATCTGTAACATTTCATTAGGACCTTTCAAATTAATGGGGAACAATGTTAATTATTTTTCAAGGACAAGACATGTAGAGGAGAAAAAAATATAGTTTTGTTCTAGTGTAGCAAAAATAACTTTTTGAGTTTAAATGACACAACAATCTGCACTTGATTTTTTTCAAGCCTTTCTTTCTTTTTTTAGGTGTTGGGGGAGTCAGTAATGATATGAAGAAAAATGAGTCTGCCAGCTGTCCCCAGTCTTTCTCGAGCTGCCTGGACGATGACTGGCTGTGGACAAAGAAAGCATTCTTGTTGATATGGTGACAGCAGCAGCTTAGAAATGTGTGAGATGTTCTGGTCAAAAATCCCGAAGAGGGATTTGTATGTGACATATAAAGAGTAATTTCAGAAAATACAGTTTGAGAGATCATACTTTAGAAAGAATTGTATCACTAATCACACTTCAGCAGATTCTAGAATTGTATTTTCTTTTAGCATTTTTCCAGGATCCTTGAACAACCCCTTGAATCGTAACATAGAGGATATGTATTTCCAATTTTTTTTCTTCCAACTTCATTTTTGTAAAAT